TTTCTGAAAAAAGAATAGCTAGCTATAACATACTGCTGTTTATTTTAGATGAAATTTTCTCAGAATTTGTCTGTAATATTGGAAATCACAGAGTTAGAATGTTTTTCTTGTGTGTCCTTTAGATGCAAGGACTAGGGAAAATGGTGAATGATTCAAAGAGCACAGCTACAAATGCATTTGGGACACTATGTGAGCGAGACAGCATGTGTCTGTGTGTGTAAGACCAGTTGTAGGAAAAAATTGTTGACTCCTGATAGCTGCCTTTTGATGGGCGTTTGAGGTTGCATTCATTACCCTAGGTAGTTACAAGGTTAGCTGAATATCTTCCCAACTGGGATTACACCTGGACACCCTCAGCCTTTTTCTCAGATCTCTGAGAGCCTGGGACTTAAATTTCATTCTTGCTACATGATTATAGGAATTCAATTTTTATTTGGTCTTAAACATCTTTTCTTTCTGTTCTCTGCCCATATCTTTTTATTAATGCCTTTAAAAAGTCTTCTTTCTTTTCAGGAAGCACAAACAATATTTTTATTTTATTTCATTAAAAAGTAGTAAGTTTATTTTTAACAAAAATATTTGAACACAAAATCTCTTAAGTATTACAATGATTTTAGTTATCTTTGATCTACTTACATATGGAATTATTCCTAATCACAGAAGTTATGATGTCACTGCATTCTCTAATAGTGACTGCACCAATACCAGGCCAAGTAAGAAAGAAAGGGGCCTGCAGGAGGCATATTCCCTCATTAAAATGAGTGTTGTTAATCAACATCATCAAAGAGCAAACCAAATAAATAGAAATCAAGAGGCAGTCTGGATTTGTAGATTAACCTCAACACTTGCCTAAAGGGGGAAATTAATTATCTCTAATGATGTATTCAAACAAAGGTATCTCCGCAGCAAAATGTTTTCTCTCTAGGTCAACTTACAGGACAAAATACAGGCTCCAGACTTTTGCTGTGCTCCTGCGGGCAGGCACTCCCTCCCCTCCTGCCACACCAGAATTCTATCACGGGACTATCCTGCTGGCTGGCAGAAAACATGAATATAGCATTTGAAAACATGAAATTGCTGTTATGCAAAGTACATGTGTACATACACAAATACACACATTTAATGTGGAATGGAAATCTTTACTGAAAAGTGTCATATTGACATGGTGTGTGTGTGTGTGTGTGTGTGTGTGTAAAATGGTGAAGTTGTACCTTCTAACCTACTGGGACTTTTATGTAAATGGAGATTATTTATATGTCGTTGGGATGTGGAATGTGACTCTCTTGCCAAGCACTCCAGTTGTTTAGCTTATTTCGTGGGTAATATAATTAGAAAAGCAAAGACCATAGAATTTAAGGTGTTAAACATCTCTTTAGCCCCAAGTGAGAAATCACTTTAAATGAGACAAGAATATGTTCATTTGTATTCCAAGCAAAGATGGAAAAAAATCTTATAAATTATTAATCCACCAAGTAGCATGTATTATCTTATCCTGAGCAATTCTGCTGGGTCAGGCTACATTTCATGCCTGCTCATTTTCCATTTGGAAGGAAAGCTGCCATGATGCAGAGGACAGAGCCACCACCCCTCCCCATTCCCAATCCCAACAAATACCAAGACAATACATTGTAATGACAGGAGAAAATTATTGAAGTTCATTCTTATCCATATTCTATTCTACCAGTAAGTTGTACTGAAACAGTGTAGATTTAAATTTTTCCCCTCAAACTAACACTGAAATAAAAATTTATTTAAGCTGAAAGAAAAAAATCTCATAACAAAGAAAGGAATATATGTATATATGCATATAAATATACACACATACATACATACCTATTTTAAAATAGAGAATATTTGAACACAGAATATATTACCACAACAGCAAGACTTATGACCTTGGGTCTGAAGTATGAAATACTAACTCAGAAGTATAAAAATGGAAAGAAAAACATTTATTTGAATGCTAATATATGTATTAAAATACGTGTTTTGTATTTATTAAGTACTGTTGCAAAAATAAATATTTGTCAATTAAAATTAAAAAGCTTACAGTATAAATTCCCAAAGCTATTAAAACATATTTAATGTCAAATAGGTAATTAATTTTCTTCTGCCAACTTCTTCATGACCAGAAGCAGGAGATCAAAAAATCTTGGAAAGTTTTATAGGTAAATAGGCATATATCGTCCAAATGAAGACACGAAAGTAAGTTCTAGGATTATTATGTAAAGTTCTAGGATTATTCTCGGCTAGGATTCTTTATGTATTTCAGGTATGCAGTTTGTGTACTTTAGGTAGTGTCTTTGTATTTTAAATATAGTTTATATATTTCAGGTTTAGAGTATTTATCCAACTAGTGTCTGTAGTTAACACTACAGTTAAAAAAAAGATCTTAATAGTTGAGTGGCTAAAATTCTCTCAAATTCTGTTATATACCAAATTTTCCATAGTGATTGAGTGACTTAGGGCATAGTCTAATGCTAGCATACTTAATGATTCAGGCTTTTATTGTCGGAGATTCTGGATGTATTCAGAGTGTGGAGAACGGTTTCTCTGGGAACATAAATGAAGTGGGAGCCAGAATGAATATTTTCTGCTTCAAATGTCTTCTTGAGTGATCCTGCCACTGAAGTTCATTCTGTGAGCTCTGATGAGGGCAGCCATTAGAAAAACATGCTTTTGTTATAGTGTGGTTTTCTTAAAAAGAGAATTGTAATAATAATAGCATTTGGCAGTAAAAACCATGTGCAGTAAAATATCTTACAATTGTACTGACTAAAGTTCAGTGGGAATCAGGGGTTATGACATTCTTCTCTGAGAGAGAAGGCCAGAATTTCGATGGTGCCAGAAATGAAGACCTACTGAAGTGTCAGGTCATGCGAATGGCGTGGGCCACAGTAGAAGGGGAACCCCCTGATGGCCAAAAGGGCCTTTGATGTTTTGCCTCCTCCAGGCTCTGCCTCACCTCTACTTCTGATCTTAAACTGAGTAACCTTCTAACTAACCTAAGTGGTGGTCCAGCACACTTCTCCTGCTGTTTAGTCCCAATTCTAATGAAACAGTCTGGATAATTAAGCTCTTTCTAAGTTGCCTCAAGCCTGGCTTCTCTGACAGTTTTGGTCAGCAGGCTGGCTGACCCTGTAGAGCCCTGTACCACCATTGCCTTAGCTCGTTGGGTCAGATTTTCAGCATCCTGAGTTGGGTTTCCTCATTGGGTGATTTCATTAGCCCCTGTCTGGTGCCAAGCAAACAGTTCTTTTAACACTCGACATGTCCAAATTACTAAAGACCATAAATTACACCCCATAGCGGTCTTACACTTGAATGCCTCTTCCCCTTACCTTGTTCACCCCTTTGAGCCCAGTTGAACTGCAGTTCTTCACACTACATTCTTAACGAGGTTATTTACTCTGCGTGCCCAATGAGATTATGCCTTATGTAATAAAGGCTCAGCTCTGAGGTATGTCCAAGAGGGCAAACTTTTCAGCTGCGAAAAGAATTAACATTTTAGCTGAAGATGACCCTTTATTGCTAGATGTGCTTTCATAGCCCAAGTTTGTGACCATTTAAGAATGTCACAGTAACATATGGAGATTTTTACATCTACACATAGATCAGTTTCGCAAGTCAGAGTAACCAAGGGTGAGTAACAATCTATGCCAGCTGTGTAGTTAAGAATGCCAATTTATTTTTAAAATGGCTCTGTGCAGTCAACTCGATTATTTATGAAAATGGGAGAAAGGAGTGACTATGATAATCAAAGTTCACTTGCAATTTCAAACCTCATTTCAACAAGCTGTTCAACCTGCTCTCTGTCTGCTAATGGGAGGGAGAAAAAACAAATGAGTCAGACAGTGGACACACTAGATACTCAGGATATTGAGATTCTTGGGTGTGAGAGAAAATGATTCTTAGGGTTATAAATGTTTACGGAGTTGTTTACACTGATTTGATAAGTATATCTGGGACTTGGTGCAGGTAGGTGCTTCAAAATTTTGAATTCACTTCACCCTCAATGGTTCCTGCCTTATTGATATGTGTATGCTGGATGCATTTATTCACATTTATAGTCCCTGCATCCCAAATACTCAGATGCTGCCAGACATTCTCCGTTCTCTCTCTCACAGCCCCCTGTTCCCCAACACACTCCACTTTAGGTTCCATGCACAAAGGTGTCACTCTTACAACCCTAAACACTCCCTTCTGTCCTCTTCTTGTCTCCTTTTGACCCCATGTGTTTTCACTTATTATTTCTATGTAGTAGAGAACGGGGGATTGAGAACGGGGGATGACAAATGGCAATAAGAAAATAAAAGCCTTAAAATTTGATGAAGCTGAAGAATTTTTATATTCAAAGGTACTCCTTAAATGTAGATCAAGTAGTAGTTTTATGCTGCCCTACTTTTGGTGCCACTTGGGGATATAATGATTTCAGGATAAAGGGGGTATAGAAAAGTCAAATAGGGCAGATACAGAACAATGTCAAACACAGCATAAGGAAACAGTGATTTCACAATATTGCATCCTCCACTGGGCATGAAACTCTAGTATTCTGCTATGGAGCTCTCATTTAAAATGGGAGAAAAACACAGATCCTTAAGCCCTCTGAGCTTTTACTTGCCCCTTTAATGCTGAAACAAGATTATAGAATTGAAGCATTGCTAAGAGGAGGGAAGGCCAGGCAGGGCTGGTGGAAGGCAGAAAGGAAGACCTTATCTCAGTGCTGCTATAGGGAAGGGACTGTACTGGAGCAGTTGCAGGTTCCCTGCGATTCTGTTTTCACTTATTCTCCCTAATAAGTGGGTTTTCATGCTAAAATAAGATAATTGTGGTTTCTATGGAATTCAATTGTGGTTCATAATTTCTGTGGAAAATTACTTCATGGACAGAAATTGAAGTTGTCTTAAATCTTTGGCTTCTGCTGCTGTTTGTCTATACTAGAATCTGGAATAATATGGTATATAAATTAACCCTAAATGATAGCATTTTAATTTCCACAGGTTGCCATTGTGCAGTGCACAGAGAGAGCTCTCTGCCACCACGAGTCCTGCCATCTTGAAACGCAGGATGTTATAGATGCAAGATCGTAAGTCTTAGAGTCCTGGTTTTATCTTTCCACTCTTCCACTTACTACCTTGCTCGTGCTCAAGGTAGCTCCCTTACCTTTCTAGATCTCAGTTTTCATTGAGATTCTGCAAATTTGGATAATAACCAAAGCACAGGTTTGTTTTGCTATTGGTTGCAATTATGCATGTTAAAGCACTTGGTCTTTGCTATGGTATGTGGCATATACATGTGCCCAATATATGTTTTCCCTTTTTCCTTTCTTTACTTTTTTTGAATAAGTAGGAAAATCACAAGTAGAGGAAAAACAGCTTTCTAAGCCATTTTGATTTCTCACAAAGTAACCTAGATCAGTGTTTTCAGGCTTTCCTTAAATCTTACTTAAGAGGCCAATATAAAACAGGTAAAAGTGGAGCTTGAGTAGGAGCTTGGGGCTTCCACTCTTCAGTTTCCCAAGCCTCATTCCTATTGTGTCCTGAGGGAATGGAACTCCCAGTTCCAAGTAAATAGTGACCTCTGGAGCTGTGCCCTGAGATATATGCCCTGGCGTCTCCATGGATTATGACATCTCTATGCCTTTAGTAAATTATTAGAGTTACCTTTTCCTCCCAATTTACTGACTTATCTGAGCTATTTTAATGATATCATATACTGGATTCACAAAGACTATATCAGAATTCTGCACTGTGCATTCTCACCAAAACCAAGGGGAGAGAAGCACATGCTTAAGGGATTCTGAAGCACGAAGTGTTTGGACCTGAGGTACACACACAATTTCCTTGAGGCATTTCACTGTGAGAAAGGATATTCCATTTTTAAGCAACATGATCCAGCTATCTGCACATTTTCCAAGGATTATTGCTTGTCCTTGGGTGTATTCTGATGCCTGGTGTCAAGATGAACTAGAATATTTACTGAACTCCCTGGAATATAGTGCATTTCCTCCTGATAATTTATAAACATTAGGTTTTAGTAGAAAGTTACTAAAAAGTTTCTTGAATAACTGAGCTCCCTTATTCATGCTCATTGATGCTTAACTCGATGGAGCATCAGCACCCAGAATTTTAAATCCTTTTCATACAATTAGGTTGTGTGCTTATGCATACTAACAAGTATGTGAGTGTGGGATGTTTATCTTCTTCCTGAAGATTATAAATTCTTTTGGCAGGTACTGTCTCTTTCTATTTCACTGTGTAATATGTGCCCAGAGGCAACTGTTCTTTGCTGGAGTGCATCCTCCAAACAGAAATCGATGAAGTTAAAGAATGTCCTGAAATGTATGTCTCAAATATGTTGCATTTTTCCTCACTAGTACATGCATCAACCACTTGGTGGCCATCCTTCTGCATCTGGTATATTTATTACATTAGTTTTCAAAATAGATTCTTTATTTCATAATCATTTAAAGAAGAGAAATTAAAATTGGTAAAGTATAGAACGCCATCCTAATTTTTGATTTGGGACAAATACTTAAATGACTAATTCAGGAACCACATTTTATACCTAAATTGCAGTTGAGAATATTTTGAGATTTGGGAAATATCATTATGCTATCATTGTATTTGTTTTGCTTTTGCCCATCTTGTACCTACCAACTGAAGTAAAGGTCCTGAAGTACAGGGATAGTAGTACTGTTGATGTTTCCAATCCAGTCTGTTTTGGCATTGAATGAGATGTAATACCACTGGAGTCTGATTGCTGCATCAGAGAGAATTGAACCTATTTTTTGTTCTCGGGAAGGGAGAAATCTGAAGTTTACACTGAGGCAAGGAGTAACAGGAGGAGGAAGAAGAAGAAATTTTTGTTTCTGGATTTTCCAAATTCAGTGGCCCGTATAACTACACCAACTGTTTTCAGGTTGTCAGTCCCACGTTGTGGATGTATGTCACCATCTACCAGAGTAATTCTATTATGCTTTTTTGTCATCTTTATAACCAAGTGTGAAAGTAATGGCAAACTTTACCCTCTCCTGGCTTAGTAATCAAGATGTAATAATTGTCTGATAGGCATCCAAGTTTGGGCTCCCACAGTTGTGGCAGGGGTTGTGTACTTACTACTTCTAGCACATCAATTTGGCATATCAGTCATCTGCTTCCCCTACCCTGCTAACCACAGTACACTGCAGTCCTTATATGTGAAACCAAGAGAAATGACTTGAAATGAAAATGAATATTAGTAACCTATCACATGGGCGACCATGGGCTGTAGTTCATTCTGAGTAGTGCTAGTTAAGACTCTGAACGCGTATCTGAGAAACTTCAGATAACTGGTTTTATCACACACAATCAGCCATGAGAAACTGCACCCCAGAAAGCTTCAGTGTGTGTTGTTTACATTTTTATAGGCACATAAGCATTAAATAACTAAATAACTAAAGGTCAGCCTACTAGTATTAATAATAAATTAAGTTTAATCAAGAAAGGAACTGGATTGCTCTTAGGTGTATGCAATTCTAAAATGTTTTTCTGTAAGAGTAAAACAATGATTTCTCAGTCTTGGCTGTATTTTAGAATCACTTGACTCCCAAGTGATTCTTTAAAAAGTGGTGCCTGATCCTACTCCACAAATATTTTATAATTGATGCTGGGATGTGACTTGGGATTTTTGAAAGCTTCTCATGTGATTCTAATGTGGTAACCAAGGTTGAGAATGCTTGCTCTGAAGTACTGTTTCTTCTTTAAACACCATTTGATTTCATTATTTAATTTAATCATAATTCTTGAGCATTATATTTGTTGACTGATAACTTGATTTCTCTGTCCCTCTCAGAAGAATGTAGGCTCTGTCAAGGCAAAAACCATGTCTATTTGGCTTTTGTAACCTCAGAGCCTGGTATAGTGCTGGATAAATGAAAATGAGTAATATTGTTTCTCTTTGAAAACAGTTCATTACCAACAAGAAAGCACAGGCTTCAGTTTTCCTAGGCAGCATTTAGCACTTTTACTGGAAGAGTAATTTGCTTGAAATGTGAGGGTGATAGCAATTTCTGCAGATAAGTGACCACATAAGACAGTCAAGTAGGGGAGGAGATGGGGAGGAAGAGAAAGAACAGGTTGGTGGCATGGAGCTGTGCTCCTGAGAGGAGCATTCTTTACACGAGGAATTTTCTGGATGATAATTTGGCTTTTCTTTGGCTTAAAATGACATTTTAAACTTCAATCTAATTTTTAATTCAAACTTGAAGTCAACGTAAACGAGGAACCTTGATGGACAGTACAGGATGAAGGAAGACAACCTGGAGTCGGACCTTGGTTTACCCAACATTTCAGGAAAAGAACCGACTTTCACAACGAGTAAGCTGGCCTGGGCTGGGCTGGGCAGGGCAGAGCTGTGCAGGGGATTGTCAGAAGCAAGGCTCTCTCGTGTCTACTTTAGTTTTGGACTAGATGATTAATACAACCAAAAGTCATCTTTAACCTGGAGAATAATTCAGCCTGCAACAGCTCATCAATCTGCTGTTGCTGTGCAGCAGCAAAAATTTAATACATAATAAATAATTTTTCACTGGCTCACAAGGAATAAAGATTTCTTTGTAAAAATATTTCGCATTTTAAGGTTAACTATCATCACACACCATTAATGCTTAATCATACACTTAATTTGAAATCCAAATACTGAAGATTTAAACTGAAATTTTACCCACAACATGAAATGATTAATGTGGTAAGTTGTGCTCTCTGCATGTGATTCCACTGCTTATAAAAATAGGATGTGGAGGAGGCTTTGTAAGTAAGCTGAGCGGGAACCCATTGAATCAGGGTATGTGTTTGTTTATACAATGCATGTCACAGACTACTTTAAATTTTACATAACAGACATTTTAATAGTACTTAGTATATACCAGGCATTGTTATTAGCAGATAATAAATATTAACTCTTTAAATCATTATATCCACTCTGTGAAGTAGATAGTATTGTTATCATTCCTAGTGTGCCGACAAGAAACCAAGGCACACAAGAGATGATAACCTCTGCCAGCATTAGTCTGTGCTGAAGATCACAAAGTGTATTAGTGGTGCAACCAGGAACCAAACCTGAATTGTCCAAATCAGAGTCTGTGTACTTAAGCCATAAGCTAAATTACCTCTCTAGGAAAACACCTTCCACTTGTATGTGCTCTCTTCTTTTTTTTTTTTTTTTTTTTAGGATTACTTTAAATTTTATATAATAGATATTTTATTAGTATTTTAGTATATACTAGGTATTAGCATAGTAGATAATAAATACACCCTAAATTGGCCCACTTGTGAAGTAGAGAGACAGCACACCTGTGGCGACAGAAACCAAGGTGGCGTAGGAGGATGGCTTTAGAGGAGAGTTTAGGCAGACAGGTGGAGAGAATAATAATTGATGAGTTGATAGAGTCTGCGTACTTGCCATAAGCTAAATTACCTTCTAGGAAAACATACCTCTTCCACTTGTATGTGCTCTCTTCTCTTTTTTTTTTTTTTTTTTTTTTTTTTTTTTTTTTTTTTAATTTTTATTTTTTTAAATTTATTTATTATTATTAAACTTCAAGTTGTAGGGTACATGTGCAAAACGTGCAGGTTTGCTACATATGTATACTTGCGCCATGTTGGTGTGCTGCACCCATCAACTCGTCATTTACATCAGGTATAACTCCCAATGCAATCCCTCCTCCCTCCCCCCTCCCCATGATAGGCCCCGGTGTGTGATGTTCCCCTTCCCGAGTCCAAGTGATCTCATTGTTCAGTTCCTGCCTATGAGTGAGAACATGCGGTGTTTGGTTTTCTGTTCTTGTGATAGTTTGCTGAGAATGATGGTTTCCAGCTGCATCCATGTCCCTACAAAGGACACAAACTCATCCTTTTTTATGGCTGCATAGTATTCCATGGTGTATATGTGCCACATTTTCTTAATCCAATCTGTCACTGATGGACATTTGGGTTGATTCCAAGTCTTTGCTATTGTGAATAGTGCTGCAATAAACATACGTGTGCATGTGTCTTTATAGCAGCATAATTTATAATCCTTTGGGTATATACCTAGTAATGGGATGGC